ATCTGGTATCGCTGTACGATTGACAACTGTAGGTTCCCCTGAAAGCAGTCAGAGACCTGTCAATACCGGCAGTGCAACAACCCCGGCCAGCGCTGCAGTCCTGCTGTTGCCTTTGGTGAGTCTACTGGTAGATGCACTACTGCCACGCGGGGACAGCCAGTTTGGGAAATCCATGCGACCTCTAACATACCGGGTGTAGATGACCGATGTGCCTTCTGCCACGTGCACGAGTACACAGTCCGTGAGCCCCCTTTAGAGCATCCAACTCCGCCACGGCCACGTTGTTATAGATGTCTTGACGGACTCAGTCGAGCCTGGAAGAATTGAGCGTGTCCAGGTCGACTTCGCTCGAAAACCACGCAAGGGAGTCCGCCTCGGCAGGTAAGAGTCCATATGGAGAGGAACGAAAAGGAAGAGTGCAGTGTATGGTAGGATGATGAATAGGGTCGTCAACTTACAGATGCGAGGGCGTAGTTTGGGTGTGAATGGCTTTTCAAAGATACTTAAGGCTCACTTATATAGACGACTTGGAGAGGATGAGTCGAAGATGAGTTTATGAAGAGAGCGAGGACAACTCGCTCGGCTACACTCGACGTAATGCAGATTGCGAAGGGCAGGATGAACAGGTATCGTCCCTCTGAATACGGTTTGGTAATAATATTCCCTGCCTAGAAATTTAAGCTCACATGAAGAGCCACGATGCAAATCTGAATCAGCCCCGCTGAACCGAAAAATAGGAGTGAGCGCTGTCCATGACATCAGATACTAGTCCAGATTCACCGAGGTCAGCTGCAATAGGCGGAGATAGATCTATGAGGAGGAAAGTCGACAGAAATGGGACTGAGCAGTGCGCGAGCATTGTCAAGATTTGTGAACGACGCAGTTGCTACCGGCTTCCCATTGCTTGATGCTTGTGATACGAGTTTCTCTGTGGTTGTAGGTGCTGCAGGGCCATACAAACAAACCTGAAAAGAAGTGGGTGTCAGCCCACAGCGAGAGACCAACGGTTGCGAGCGTGGAAGCGCAAATTCAAACTGAGCTCAGAAACACGCCCTGCCTTTTAACCACTATGTCGTTGGCGACAATGGTGCTGCACCATCTCACAGTACCACCTAGTATTGGAGATCGCAGCATATCCTCGTCGTCTCTTTAGAATCACCAACTACGCTGACACCAGCCTCAATTACACTAGGCACACCACCCGGCAATATTCAGATTACTGACCACACACAGGACCTAGTAGTTGCAGGAATGACGCTTTCAGTTCAACCGGAACGGCTACAAATCACAGTGGCTTTGGAGCCCGCGACGCTTGCGGTGGTACGTCTCGAAGACGCACACACCTCAGTTAGACAGAAATCAGCCATTGTATCTCGCTTGGAACGAGAACTCAAGATCCTCAGGCGATCATGGACGACATTGTCTTCGAACCCGAGTGCACCACAGGTGAGTCAATGTTGCGATCCTTTCACCGCTGCCGAAGATCAAACAGACGTCGAAAAGAGCATAAATTTTGAGAAGACATATGAGAGAAGTGCACCTAGCAATATCTTCATATCTATGTGCCAATGGTTCCGGCATTCAGTATTTGGTGTTGCTCTCAATGATTGACCATGTTTTTTGTCAAGCACCTTTGGATTCGCCGTCTTCCTGGGTACTAATCACAACACCTACTTGTTTGTGCTGTGTGTGTACTTCAGGGTCGTCCGACAAGTTTATCCCTATTGTAAATGACGGTTCCGACAAACAGGCGAGCGTATAGCTGCGGCTAACCAACACGCTGCTTCCGCATACACGTCCAGGTTGCATTACCATCGCTTTCGTTGGAAGGTGGAGCCGAGATGACCATCGCAACATCCCAGAAGATGAACTGCAGCTTACCCTGCTACCCCATTCACGTTCATTAGGCGACTTCGTCCGCAATACCACCGGTGTGCGTGCTATGTTCATCGTACTCGTCCCGTCAAAAATTTAAAGAATTTGTAAGGATACTCTGATTTTCCTTCTTAATCGGTTTGTCTGGCAAGAGCGCAGCAGACTAAAGACGTACCGCATCGGGAGGAACATGGGTACTTTCGTACTGCAGTTTTCAAGTGCACCACAAATCTGCGTGTTGTCACTGCGCATCGGCGGACGCGCTTGGTCACATGCGAGAATGAGCCGGTATGATGGGAGGTAGTGTTATCTGGGACGTACACTGCATTTTTCGCGGACGATTTAACGACTAAAGAGTGAGAATTGCTCTCGACCGAGGTACGGGAAATGATTTGTTACTTTTCATCCTTTCCGTGGATATTCGCAGACGATGCGAGCGCTGATCAAGTAAACGTTCGGGGGTGAAAAAACGTGTCGCCCAAAAACACGTACGAGACAGGTCAGCAGTATGCAGCTGGTGGAACTGTAGACGTATGAAATTGTGTGCATCTTAAAGAGCCAGACAGGCTGCGGGGCTCACAAAGCAACTCAACCAAATCTAGCTTCAGGGTAGACCCGAAACGCGTTGCCCGCGTCTGGTCCCATGCATCGCAGTCATTCTGATTATAAAACTAACCATCTCTCAGTCTCAAGCGCCGACCCGCCCATGACAGATATGGGCGCTGACCAGTTCATAACAGAGGGGAGGAAGGACGATGATGACGGCAAACACAAGAGATTTAAAGTGAAAAGGATATGCCAGATCGATCGAGAGACAACCACGGCAAATACTCACCTTTCACCAAGTGGAACGCCGTGGTATTCGCGCTAATATTTGCGGGTGCTGCCGCATGACATTTCAATTGATTTTTGACTCTCGGGAAGACGGTGCACTAAATTTTCAAGGTAATTTGTTTGTGTTGCAAATCAGTTCAAGGTTGTCACATAGCATCTGGGGGACAGGGAATAGTGCAATCATGGTCCCGACCAGTCAGTAACTGGTTTAAACCATATACTCGCTTACTGATGAGCAGCTAGTTCTCGGTCGTAAAATTTTTGGATCAGCTATGGTAAGATAAGATAATGTGGTGAACTTTATATCGGTTCTATTGCATGATGCACTTCTGCACTTCTGCACTCCCACGCTTTGGTTCTGCGTGATAAACTTTCGTGCTATAGACTTGCTCCATGACATACCTCCGTACGAACGCAGCGTCTGGTGTCTTCCTTCCGACTTACAGTACTTGTTTGTTCGGAAGCACAATTGCTTCGCTGTCCGTAAGTGTCCTTCGGCAGGGAATGACGGTGGACGGCTTTGACTTATGCTTCCCGGGCCGCAGAGTTCTTGACGAGAAGTCTAGTACCATGTGGACAAGGGGGCTGCTCTTTGTTTAGTGTAACAATTGCCACCGAGCGCTACCACATCTCCAATGTGTCTACTGGCAGCAAAGTTGAGGCCGCGGAACCTTGCTGAGACATACCGCAGAGCCTGATCATGATGAAGCGGCGTTCCATCATGGTATATCTTTTAGCCAGCTTCCGGTGGAGAGTATCTCTCAGATGCGTTCCGATGCCCGTTATCATCTCTCTTCGACTGCCCCCGTTAAAACACCGCATGATCTTTCCTTGCGTCCTCTCCATCCTCTTCATGAAACTGTGTGTTAAGCAACGTTGACAAACCCTGTACATTGGCTGGTTAGGCGACAGTCCCCTGCTGCTTGCGGTGCGAGCGGTAATGGCGGAGTATTTTGAAAAGCTCCCTTCGGCAATACGATAGTCCACGGACTCCGTTCATTGGTGTCAATATAGATTGGCGCCAGACCATGAGATTGGCGGACACTGGTCACGTTGCTGGGCCCTCCCTACGGTGCGCGTACTGTGTTCTCTCGTTGGGAAGGGTCTCCTAGCACCTACTACGGCAGTACACTTATTTTATATCAGAAGATTGGAGGAAGTCATTCAAATTACTATGCTCGGATCTTCGGGTCTCAACATCTACCTATTCCCCTCCTCTCCTTCCTTCAATTGCTTTACATACTCGGCTTCTCGCGGCCAACTCGCGGCATTCACAGCCCGAGCCGAATTTAAAATCGAGTAACTTTAACGTTGGTGACTATCTAAGTGCCATCGCGTAAGTTGTTATACTCCTATCTCCTGCGATTTTGCTGTAGAGTTACGCGAGCCCTCCTGGCTAAGTTCGTTTCGCGCTGGGAAGTTGTCCACGTTTTGTGCCGAACCACCTGCCCTTTTCCCTATAAAGATACGATGGGGTGTCTTTTTGCTATGACTAGATGTCAATGGACAACAGGCGGATGCCAGAGCACTACAATGGTTCAATCGCCAACAGGTGTGCACGTTTTTGTCCGTGCCTACAAATTTTTTCCAACTTTTAGCAATGCAGCACATCTCACACCTTAAGCAAGCCCCCCCAAGAGACCCCCACGGCAGAAAAACAAGTGGTATATGGTTTCTGAGCTGCATTTTTGAAGACAACTAACTTCTTGAATCAAGAACCAGTATACCAGTTGCCCGTGGACTTTCTGCCTCTACACGGATCCAGAGGGCAGGGAATGCCTGGAATTTATCAATTGTGGTACCGCCCCCGACCACTTCAAAGATACGCATGGTATCTCAAATATAGCCCGCGAAGTCGAGTTGGTCTGCGTGTGGCAGGGGTGCGGGGTCCGAGTTATAAGGCACAACTACATTCGTCATATCCGTGAACATCACCTCAATCATGATCGAGTGGATGCTCATGCGAACCAACCTGTCGTACGTTGGGGATGAGTTGTTCAAGCGTCGTGAGGCATTACTGCCATGGGATCCCAATAGACTGGATTCGGGGGACCTTGTAACATAAATTTGGTGCTGCTATGTATTCGTCTCTCTGTAAAAAATGGCTGGTATTGTCGCAGTCGGCCTTGGACGCTTCTCAGCTTTGAAATTGTGTGCAGAGGTCCTCAAATCATGGTCAGTCTCATCTTCATTCGATGTACGATCCCATGTGTTTAGACGAAATACACTTCATAACTGCAAACACGCACATCCCTCGCACAAGGCTAAATGCCACCAAGGCCATTTGTACTTCACAACCGATACACCCAAGAGCCCATCAAGGTGATCTGGTACCGCTGGATGACTGACGATAATGCGAGCGTTGGTTCTCTTGAAAGCACCCAGAGACCTGTTAATACCGGCAACGCAGCCACCCCAGCCAGCGCTGCAGCCTTCTTGTTGCTTCTGGCAAATCCAAGGGCATTTCCACTACTCCTACGAGGAGACGGCCGGCTTCGCAAACCCACGCGGCCCCTGATGTAACGTGCGTAAATAACGGAGGCGCCTTGCGCGGCGTGCACGAGCACACAGCCCATGATCCCGGTGTAGAGTATCCAACTCCGCCACGGCCACGTCTTTATAGCTGTCTTGACGAACTCATAATCAAGTTCGGAAGAACCTAGTGGGTCCAAATCGACGTCAGTCGAGGGCCACGCAAGAGTGTCTGCTTCGGCAGGTAAGAGCCTATGTGTAGCAACGTGGATAGGAACGAAGAGGAAAAGAGCCGTATATGCTGAGATACTGAGTAAGCTCGTCAGTTTGCGGATGCGAGGACGTGGTTTGGGAGCAAATGGCCTTTCAGACTGAGCGGGGGAGTCTAAGTCTGATATAGACTGACGGCTTGAAGGAGAGGTCGAAGACGAGTCCGAGGCGAAAGTGAGGATGACTCGCTTGGCTACACTCGACGTAACGTGGACAGCGAAGGGCAAGAAGAGCAAGTATCGTTCTCCGAACATGGTTTGGTAGTACTCCCTGCCTAGAAGCTGCATATCCAGAGCAAAACCAAATCAACACCCCCAACCAACACAGGGGAATCGGAACTGACCATGACGCTAGATGCTAGTCCAGATCCACCGATGTTAGCTGAAATAGGCGCCGATAGATGTACGAGGAGGAAAGTCGACAGAAACGGGGCTGAGCCGTGCGCGAGCATCGTCAGAATGGACGATGCAGTCGCTACCGGCTTGCCATTATTTGACGTTGGCGGCAAGAGCTCCTCTGTGGTTCCAGAATTCTTTGGATCCATATCCTGAAAAGAAGTGGGCGTCAGTGTACGAGACTTACGTAGAGCGTGGCAGCCCAAATTCAGACTGAGGCTGCAGCGCACCTCGCTTTCAACCGCGACCTTATTACGGTAACCACAATAGTACAACACCACCACCTGGTGTTGGAGATCGCAGCGCATCCTCATCACCCCTCTCTTTCCCAGGACAACGAAACTTATCACACACAGGACCCCGCATCGATTGCAGAGGTTGCGATTGCGCTTGCAGTTCAGCTGGAACGACTACGAGTCGCACGGAGGTGTTGGCGGCCCGCGACAATGTGGTGGCACCTCTGGAGGGCGCATATGCACCAGTTAGACAGAAATCTGTTACCGTACCTCGCTTGGAACAAGAACTCGAGATTCTCGAGCGGTCGTCAACTCCGTCGTCTTTGAATGCGAGAGCTCTACAAGAGTCAATGTTGCGATTCTTTCACTGCTACGAGGATCACACAGACGTCGAGAGGAACGTCAATCTCGAAAGATATATGAGAGAAATGCACTCAGTAGTTTCTTCGTATCTGCGTGTCGATGGCTCTCGGCATCCAGCATTTGGTGATGCTATCAGTGATTTACTATATTCTCTATCAGGTACGTTCGGATTTGCCATCTTCCTGGATACGACTTCCTAGAACGTTCGCACCGTGTGTACGGTCGTCGGACAAGTTTGTTCCTATCGTAAATGATGGTCTCTGCGAACAGGTGGGCGCATATTTGCGGCTAACAGACAGGATGCCTCTGTAAACACGTCCCGATCGCGTTATCACCGCTTTCGTTAGAAGTTGGTGCTGAGAAGACCATCGCTGCAAGACACTCGATGCTTACTGTGCTTCCCTTCCGTCTGCCATCCCAGAAGATGAACTGCCGCCTACGTTTATGCCCCATTCATATTCCCTAGGTGATTCACTCCAGAGTACCACAAGCGTGCGTGTTACGTTCAATGTACTCGTTTTACTGGCCCCCTCGTCAAGACTTCAAAAAGCTTGTATGGACACCTGACTTTTTAATCCGTTCTCCAGTCAGAATCCTCGGACTAAAGCATTACCGCATCTTGACATAATTCACGACGCACTGGTGTCCAGATCGAGAGGAACACAGGTACTTTCACTCCAGTTCGTTAAGTGTACCACAAATCGGCGCGTCGTCACTAAGCATCGCTGGGTAGCAGTGAACGTGCTTGTTCACATGCAAGAACCGACCAGTATGCTGGTTAGTTGAGAGACCAGCAGGCGAATGCGTCCCATCTCAATAACGTTCTTCGCAGACCGCTTTTATCACAAGGACGGGAAGTTGCATTGTGCGGGCACGTACGGGGCGTTTCGCATGGATGACCTGACGATTTAGGAGCGGGAACTGCTCTCAGCCGAGGTACAGGATATGATTCGTAAATTTTCACTCTTTTACGCGGATGGTCTGCAGACGACGCAAACAGTAATCGAGCCCTGAGGGTGTCCTGTGTGGGACTTAATGCGTCGGATTCATTAATGAGGTGTATCACGCCATTTTGGAAGAGTCATGATCCGTGCATTAGACGCGCAGCTCTGGACGGACCGCCCCGACCGCACCGCCGGTCGACACGGCCCAGACAATGACAACAACAAGTCTTCAGTTAACTGACGGAATCTTCCCCTTCGCAACTACTTGGCCTGGACTCCCATCTGGTCGTGAGCGTAACGGTTTTTTCGGGTGGCCTCATTCTGTTTCTTCGTTGCGCCACTGCAGTCGTATTCTTACCGCAGAGTGGTAAGAGTGTGGTGTACATAGTTCTGGTGTACCGCGGAAAACCATTCTACACCTAGGCACGACGACTGAAGTACTGATTTGCAAGGGTTGGGCTGCTCTCCCCCCTCTGCCCTCCCGCACTCCATCAACTTAAAGAAGTGTGCACGAGGTCACCCCCTGCCATTCAAGCGCTTATCGCAAGCTGATGATTGGTACTTGTCGGCGGTAATTGGGTCACATCCCATCATTGCGAGGCATTCGGCATCACGCTTTCATTCGCCGATGCGATGCCTGAACAAACTTGCCTCTCCACTCTTGTATTGACGTTGAGCCAAGGGTGGCCTCCATAGATATTCTCCTGGAAGCAGGATGTCGGCGTAAGAAAGCCATCAACCTTACAATGTCCATGAGAGACACCAGCTGGAAACCCTTTCCACAAGTACACTTGTTTTTTTTTTTTTTCTTTAAGGAACATGAAAGCTTGATGATAATGCGGCCAACGCGGGGCAACACTTTTGCCTGAACCTCCTGTGACAAGAGGGACTAACAATGTATACCCGACAGTATGTAAAGCCGTCGTCGAGGATACGGTAACGGCGTTTTGCTCAACTGCTATTGTGTTGTAGTGTGGTACGGAGTCACTAAGATACAATCAGTTAGGCGCCTTCAATCTCTCTATTGCTGCCCACGGAGAATGCATCAACTTCATCCAATATTCCTTTTATGGTGCTGGGCGGTGGCGGCTACACCATTAAAAACATCAGTCAATACTGGAGGTACGAGACTGCTATTCTCGTTGGCACAGAAATGCCGGACAAACTGCCTGCTATCATCTATGATCCTTTATTCCGCGACCGTAATGGAAGCTCCATCCCCATTGAAAGGTAGAGTGGAAAACCCGAACACTCCAGCGTCACTACATAAAAATTACTGGAACAAGCTGAGGTATCTGCAGGGCGTTCCCAGCGTCGCCATGCAAGAGATACCATCAGATCTGGAAGGCTTGCTTGCTGGCAAACATAAGAATCAAGAGAAAGACGAGGAACGGGAGACTGGGTTTGTAGGGAGCGGCAGCGATAGGTGCATCTCCGGGCACGAATGTTCCGACAACGACGTAGACGAAGACGACTGTGCGACACCGTCAGGCACGAAGCGAAACTCAATTTCATCTAGCGTTCGCAAGCCTCGAGTAAAACGCACTCGTGGTCAAGCCAGGGGTGAGGCAAGTGGGGCCGATGAGAGGGAAGATAGCGAAATAGATGAATCATCACTGGGAAGACGAGTAGAATAAGGTCCCGTGCGAGAGCTCGTGGTAGGGTCGCGGAGCTGGACAAAGATGCGAAGAATATGGATGCGAGAGTTGTTGGTGAGCCCAAGTTTGGACTTGAGCCAGCTGCACCGATGGATGTCGATGTTGGCGTGTAGTATATCTTGCATGTTGCATATAGTGAACGAGAAATTGATATTAGGTCTCTATTCATCCATTCATTCCTTCTGCGAGAAAATTCTACTTGCCGTACGGCACTAGAATTCTCGACTCCAGTAATCGGACACATTGCCTCAGCCCATGATGGGGTAATATGAAAGTCTTGGATAAGTTTCAGAGCTCGGTGCTAGTTACCATTCCATTGTTCCCAGCGTACATGTGGAGAGACGAAGAAGAGGCTATCCGGGCGTGAATGACTGCGCACATCAGTTGACCCAAGGCGCAAGAATGACCGAACTCCGCTCCTCGAAACCCTGTAGTTTAGTGGTTCACCCTTCGAATGACTACTCACCTGGTCGTCGATACGCAAGGGGTGCTTGCGCTAACTTGAAATCGATAACCGTCAACTTGTGAGGTACTCGTTACTCCAGTAGACAAGCAGGTTTTTTTGAGGAATCGGAGCTAAGCGAGTAGATGTGGTCATACGTCGCGAAGAAGACGGAAGGAGGGTGAAGAGGGATCGGGCTAGGATTTCGCTAGATGCCGCACGGCGACGGGGGTGGAACGAAGTGAGTAGTTCTCGAAGAGGAGTGGCTGGAACATAAGTTACGGGTCACGTGAATGTATGCTGACGTCAGGATTCCCATTTTTGTACATGGCACACGCATCCATACATAGCAACAAGGACAGACCGTGGAATAAACAAAAGACAAAACTTTGATGCACTGCAACAAATCTCAGCAACTTCAAATGTCCCCTTCGGGGTGACATACGTAAAAATTGGAACGATACAGAGAAGATTAGCATGGCCCCTGCACAAGGATGACACGCTGTTCCGGAGTGGTAGACCTACGGGTCTCAATATTTATTATTTCTTTTTCCTGGGTTTGCTTTGATCTCATTTTCTAACTACATATCCAAGTTTCACTTTTCGGGACTTCTCCGTGGGGCACCACTTGCACATCAGAAGTTCGAAGTTCACATCTGAACTGGTCGAAACTTTGCTCTCTCCCCCTATCTACTTGACGCCGTCCATGCATGCGATCTGCAAGCACAAGTTTTGCTCTGTCACATATCGTTTCTCTCTGTCATCATATGCCAGGTGTGCGGCTACGCATGCGGACCAAGCTTATATCACTCAGCGAACTCTAGCGTCCAAATCACTCATGAAATTGAACGCGATCGAGGATCGCTAACAACATTCAGTCTTTGAAACAGCGGCGCAACTTCTTGAAGTGATGGTGCTTCTCGAAGACAACTGGGTCTAAAACATGTCGAAAAGTCCAAAGGGTGCTTTTCACGAAGCCCTAATCACTTACATATAGAGCCATGCCCGGAGCTGCGTGCGTACCGCAATGTGGTTGCTGCCGCGGAAATTCATAGGTTGCCCACTATTCACTCATTTCCGGTTTACAGCCCACCAGGCCGATTGATATGCATCGGACAACAGACGGATTTCCAGAACACTACATTGGTTCAATTGCCAACGTACGTTCGCACGAACCCTCCAGGCCAGTTTAGCTCCCAATGTCAGAGCGTTACGCTGGTTCAGCCGCAAGCAGGCGTGTTCGTGGTTGCAGAGTTTTCACAATTTCTAGGAATGCGCATTGCGATACACCTCAAGCAAAGCTCCCAGGATGTCCCCGCAGCGTACTAACACACGGTATGTATTTTTTAAGCTGCATCTGTGGAGACACGATTTTAATTTTTTGTATTACACAGAATCAGTATCCCTGCTGTCCGTGGCCTTTATACCTTTATAAGGGCCCCGAAGGCTGGGGGTACTTGGAACTTGTCAACTGTGGTACTACCCCCAGACCACTTCAAGTAAACGCATGGTATCTCAAATTTGGTGCGTGAAGTCGACTTGGTCTGTGTGGCAGGGTTATGAGTACCGAGTCATAATGCATAACTACATCCGTCAGGTACGTAAGCATCAGAAGAGTTGCTCACGCAAACCAAGCTATCGTACGTCTGGGGTACAAGTTGTTCGAGCGCCATGGAAGTTCGGAGGCATGACCGCCGTGGAGCTGAATTCGGCAGCCTTTGTAACATAATTTGATCCTCATACCACGGGCAAACTGCCATAACTAGATGCGCTCGCAAATTTTGAGATGAAATGGCTGTGTAAGTTAGCGTACCATTCACAGCTATCAACACGTAAGTATGTACATCCCTTGCACACGGCTAGGTGCCACTGAGGACATATGTACATATTCCCCATCCGGTACCGCCGTACGACTGACGAAAATACGAACGCTGGTTCTCTTGAAAGAGTCTGGAGGCCTGCCAATACCGGTAACGCAGCCACCTCAGCTGGCACTGCAGTCCTTCTGTCGCTTCTAGTGCACTTCCACCGCTACGATGCAGGGACAGCCGGTTTGATAAACCCACTCGTCGCCTGATGTACCGGGGGTGAACAACCAATAGGCCTTCCGCAGCCTTATGAACCCCGTGTATAGTATCCAACTTTACCACGGCCAGGTCTCCATAGTCGTCTTGACGAACTCAAAGTCGAGTTCCGAAGAACCGGCCGACGTCGCTCGGAGACTATGCAAGAGTGCCCGCTTCGGCAGGTAGGATTCTGTGTGTAACGACGACGGAATAGGAACGAGGGGGAAGCCTGTGGTGTATGCCGAGATGCCAATTGCGGATGCGAAGGCGCGGTTTTGAGTGTGAATAATTTTTTTCAGACTGAACGGCGGTAGAATCCACGTCTGACACACACAAACGTCTTGGAGAAGGTGAAGATGAGTCCAAGGCGAAAGGGAGGACTATGCGCTTAGCTGCATTCGGCGTAACGTGAATAGCGAAAGAAAAGAGGTGGTACCTGCTTCGTTCCCAGAACGTGGTTCCACAGTATTCGGCCCTCCCTGCATATCCACAGTGCAAACCGAACCACCCGACTCATCCAACACATGGGAATTGGGATTGACCAAAAACGCTAGACGCTAGACTAGATCCGCCGACGTTGACTGAGACTGGCGTTGACATGGTCGGATTAGTATGAGGGTCTTGTGCGGCAGGGTCAGGGCGGCGTGTCCGATTACTGGAATTGAGAATTCAAGTAGATCCACCGAAACTATGAACATCTTGTCCGACGGGTCAAACTCTCTAATAGTCAAGACTAAATAAGTAAATTCGCGCTCCTTGCTGCCCCTTGCTAGGGTTAGGGTTACAACTCGGTGTTTAAGCGAACGGAACCTAATACGTTACCCAACTAGCTCAGGTACAAACTGTATTCAGTGCGATAAGATTGAGATTGAGATTGGACAAGCTAACTAAAGCAAGTAAAGCCAAATTCAGTCGTGTTCTTCGGTGGGAGTTGGCCATGATTACGTAAATTTACATGATATCGAGGCTGGTCCTTCTGGTAAATCAATAAGCCTAGTGTCTATCCCGAAAATTGAGTGGTGGAGCGGTGGCAGTGCTTACGGCAGAAGCGGCCTCGAGGTATCAAGCTCATTTTCCTTGTTCGTATCTCACCAGGTGGCGGTGGCGGACCAAATCTCCAAAATCCAATGCAAAGGCCGCAGAGTAGAACTGGTACCTCGTGACTGGCTCGGGAGGTCGCAGGAATAACGATTCGAACTTTCAAGTCCGCGCGTGGCTGGATTATGTAAACTCCGGGGTTATCCATCTCGAGTTGGAGCTGACAGAGCGCTCTTTGCGTATCAGACCGGTACGGCTACTTGCAATCAAATTGATAGTCTTCAAACGAGGATATGATAGCTGATTTCTGTCCAACTAAGGTATATGCGTCCCCGAGACGTATCGCCAAATTGTCGCGAGCTGCCAGCGCCCCCGTTGTTCAAGATTGCTCCAGATTGATGGCAAGCGGACAAGGGTTCCACGCGGTGAGTAGTTTGATCCATCAAATAGTGGTCCATCAATCGGCCGGTGTTAGTGTACATATCCACAATTTGATGTTTTAAGGACACAGGCGATAAGGTTGTACTACGATCCCCAGTGCAATTGTGCGCTGACCTTCCAGGTCTTACTTGTACATATTTCACTGCCTGTCTCCCAAGAATTATGCTACAAAGTCTACTGGGCCCAGCTCGACAGGTTTTGTGCCGAGTAAGCACCGAAATCCGAACATGCCCGGTCACAAGGGGAATGGACACAAAAGTGACCAGTACTATTCACGGTGACCGGCTAATGACCATAACTCCAAACAAAGCGAGCCAACCACGCCATACGAGATCATTTACACAGCAATTGTGCCACACCGAGTAGAAACAGGAAGCCACCGCCAGAACGAGATACAGGATAAGGATGAACGGCAATGGCGTGTTAATGAAGTTGATCAACAGTCACTGAGGAGGGAGGCTACTGGAAGTGAAATATTGTCTGCGGCAAAGTGATCAGCAGAGGAACCTGTGAAACGAGTGCGTTCCTTAGACTTGGGTCGAGTCCAAAGCATCGGCGTACTACAATGAGAGCATGCTGCATAAACAAGGAGACATCATTACAGAGGGTGCCATGATGATAAATCTAAGAAACGAGGAGCTTTTTGGTTTGATTTACCTGTACAATATATACACGCGGCTGGTCTGAACTTTGATTTCCCATGTTTCATGGGTAAAGCCTACAGCGCTCGGCTGATTCCACTGACCTCACCACCAAACGATTTGAAGGAGTGGATGGGAGGGGGGGGTCTGGCACAATTGATCCGATGGCTGAAGGTACACAAGCAATCACGATTACTACGATTGTTGCCAGGATTTGGGGAAGTGCCAAGTTGCCGTAGATGAGGAATGACTCTCAACAATCAAAACGAGATGCCACACCTTATAGACATCTCCAGCTGTGCAGAGGAATGACCGGTGTTCGCCTTTTTGTCCAATGTATGGAGGCGATTCCATAGCCAGCGCCCGAAAACCATGTTCCGGAGCTTGTGGCATTGCGACAGATTGGTCAGGGAGCATGCCTGGGTTGGCATCATGTGAACAGGGATAAAGCGGGTAGGTTCTGATACGTCAACAACACGGTGATGGAGTTTCGCCCAGCTACGTTGGAGTGTGGTGCCGACTCGCTAGGATGCGATCGATAATGATTAGGCGCTTTCAGTCCCTCCACCAAGGGACTTGAAAAGGAACTTTGTCCGCAAGTCGAACGTTTCCCTTCTGGCGCTCGACAGCATCCGCAGTGACACATTGAAAGTGTCGTCAATACCGGACGCACAAGACTGCTGTCCTGGTTGGCGCAAAAAATACCAGACCAAGTGCCTGCCACCGGCTATGAACCTTTCTTCCACGACTCACAATGGACACCGCATTCTCCGCTGACAGTTAGAGTAGAAAGACCAGAATACCTGTGTCGTTACAAAAAAAGCATCGCCACACAAGAGATACCACCAGATCTGGAAGACCCACTTGCCGCAGAAGTTAAGGAGAAGGAGGAAGGACGAAGAAAGGGGTGCTGCGTTCCCTGGGGAAAGCAGGATCGATGGGCGCATCTCCAGGCATCAGTGTTTCGAAGGTAGTAACGACGTGGACCAAGACGACTATCCGTCGCTGTCAGGCGCTCGGAAGCCACATTCAATTTCCTTCAGCGTTCGCAAACCCTGAGCCAAACGTAGTGGTTGTCGAGCCAGGGGTGGGGGAAAGTGGGATGCTCGTAATGGGTGGGAGGACGGTAAAGAAGTAGATGGATCTGGTAGTCCCTCGTGGGCGAAGCCTGGGAAGACGTGAGTTTGAGTCTAGATTTGGGCCAGCGATGCAATCTACGCGAGTCCACTTAACAGAACTATAGAGCCTGGAAATATGTTCAGTAGTTCGCGCTTCGAATGACCTCTCACCTCGTCAATTGATCTCAATGACCGGTCTAGGTGGGACGTACGGCCACTGATATACAAAGAGTGCACTGCCTGCTCCAACTTGAAATGTATAGCCTTATTTTGCTCGGATCTGGCCTATTGTGCAGTTCGTTGTATTCTTGAGAGACTTCCGAAACGCCATCATTCGAAGGGCGTTCAGAAATTTCCGGCCTGTCGCTGAGATACTTGCAGGTCGGAGATCCGACCCAGTGATACCGAGAGCAGTGACGTAAGCATAACACATCATGATGGGGTGGAAAGTTTCGCGCTTATACTATAGTAGATAAAATGCCAAGTACGGCCAGTAATCTGCCGTTGTTCATTGTGGTCAAATTGTGGGTCCATGTCCGACAACTTGGGACTCGGATGTCGTTCGGTGGGGAATGCTGAATCTTAATTGGGGTTTGGCGGCCTGATGTCAAATGAAATAAGATGAACTACTAACACGTACTGGCCGACTAATATGCTGCGACACAGCTCAAGTTCGAAAAGGAACCTCGTATGTATCAGACAAAAGGTTGATCCAGACTTGGATTAGGCTGCGCCCAGGAACGTCAAGGCCGACGGAAGCATGTGACTTCGAGAAGGTCAGCCACCCTCACCCCAGATCTGCCTCATGGATTTTAGTACAATGTGCTGCGTAGGTCCTGCCACTTGCTTCCCTGTCGTTCGTTACTAAGCCCTTATCACAAACTCATGACAGTACTTGCAGAGTACTACTGGCAAGGGTGTCACATGGTAATTTATATGAATTTCAATGAACATCTGGTATATACTGACTTAGCTCCAGAAATCGGCAGTGGCGGTGAAGCCGGCTTGCCCGTTGTGGGCGGGCGCTCGCGCGATCAACTTAATTAACTGAACTGGCCGTTTCGAATTCGTGCCATCATGATCAACATTAATATCCGTGCGCCGGGTAAACCGTTTCAGGTGAAGTACAATGTGGTGGCCCTGGCCGCCGCTCCGAACTTGAGGGCGCCCGGGTGAAAAGAAAGGAGACGAGCCGAGTAACGGCTGGACAGAGATTGGGACCACACAGATGCATCATCTCGCTCCTCAGCGATCTGAGTCGCCGATATCCACATCTCCACAGCCAAAATCCCTCGAATCAATCAACCTTGGGAAGGTTGTGCTGCCATCGCAGTTGGGGAGTTCGGTTGCCAATGCCCATTTGTCAGAGCCCTCCCGGTCCACTTAATATCCAGTACATTTTTGCGTATAAAGGCAGCTCCGTATGTCTTTGTTCGCTAAGACTTGGTGCCATTGAGCAGCAACCGGGTGCTAGAGCACTACGCGAGTTCAGTCGCCAACAGGTGTGTTCTGCCATGTTCCTGCCTCCGAAGCTTTCCCAACCCTTATCAATGCAGCACACCACACACCTTGAGCAACGTCGTCCAAGAGGCCCCCATGGCTGACCAGCAAGCGGTGTGTATTCTCTGAGGTGCATTTGTAGAGGCAAAATTAACTTCTTGAATCATACAGAGTTACAATGCTTGCCGTCTGTGGACTACTTTGTGCCTTTACACGGATTCCGAGGGCCGGGAATGCTTCGAGCCTATTGACTGCAGTACCGTCCCGGACCACTTCAGAGATAGCCATGGTATCACAAACATGGGCCGCGAAGTCGAGTTAACCTGTATGTGGCAGAATTGCCTATGCCGAGTTATTAGGCATAACTTCATCCGTCACATACGTGAGCATCACCTTCGACACGATCGGACGTCTGGTCATGCAAACCAACCTGTCGTACGCTTTGGAGGATGATTTATTCAATCGCTACGGACGGTTCGGAAGGATGACTGCCATACATCCAAAGGCACTGGTCTGGGTAGCCTTCGTGGCATAATAATTTATTACTCCTAGTCACTACCATTACTTGTTCATCACAGGTGTCCGCCGATTTTGTTTACTTACTATTTATAACTACGGCAGTTTCTGGTGGTAGTAATCCGTCAGTCAGTTTGGCAACATCTGCGTGATTCGTTGGTGCGCTTTCGGCAGCTAGCTCTCGATCAGGATCGTTCTTGCGATGTCTTCGTCGCGTGCGTGTCGTGACAAGAGTTTACCCATCAATCGTGCGTGCGCACTTCGAGCGAGCACAAAGAAACAGGCTACTAGTCTTTTTCTTCTCTATCTCTTGATCAACGTGGGGAATACAATAGCGCAATGTATACTCACCATTGATTTCGAATCACTGGCAATTATGCACGATGTTGATATGCATGTCGATCAGTTGCACGTACAGGACTTAGACGCGCCGGCGACTTGAATGAGAGATATAAAAATTAATATTATATATATTAATTATTGCGTCTAAGGTTAACCGGGCAGCGAAGCCCAACGAGGTCCTGAGTAAGGATCCGAGTAGAATCGACCAAGGTTCCGGAGATCCTGGGGGATTCTGCGCCATGACGAAGAGTGTGGAATTTCCGACGAACCTTCGGATTCGGCCACCGGCCACCGTCGAAAAGCTTATTCGGACATGTTCGAAGCTTTCTTTCAGGGTTGCTACAACCTACTTAGGGGACGCGAGCGGCTCATCCGAGCTGGTATTACAAGCGTCTATGCACATGCCCTGCAACATTGTAAGTTTGGCCTACAAATTGAACGCGGAGAACGTGGAACGAATCTGATCAGAGAAGTCGCAGTGTTGCATTCTGGAGTCTCTGCAGCTGCCAACAGTGACATTCAAATTGTCGTCGGCCCCTCGGCCAGAGTACCCGTACACATCCCGGCGGGAATAGTTGCAGGCGTTTTGCACAGTAACTCTCTCGCGAACCGAAGCCAGCCTGAGCGCAATATCAATTCCCATCCGATTTGCTTCCTCCAAAGTTATTGGTTCCGGCCGCTTGGCCAACTCATTTAAAGCAGGCAATAGCCAGCCGTTGATGTCGTACTGTTGGGAAAGAACAACTCTATCAACAGCGCCAATATTGCTTTTCATCAGTGCGTGGATGGACGCTTGGCGCAACTTCTCGAAATTCCACGCCGTAGACAGCTTCAAGACAGATGTCCACTGTTCGACACTTTGAGGCAGATTAGGCCGTGAACCATGCTTTCTGGAAAGAAGATATGATCCACTGCCTCTATGCTCTGATGAAAACAAACCTGTGGAAAAGAGCCTTCAACAATTGCTCGAAATCGTCCTTGCTGATTGCGTGGAGTTGGATGGGAATTTCGTCGCTCCATCCCTCTACGCCAACTCCGTCACCCTGCGGCAGGGAAAATGTGTCGCAAAATACTTCTGACTCTTGTTGAAACGGTTCCCTAGGAACCCTGAACAAGGAGTCTTCCACCTATCCACGGGATGCAATGGGTCCACGGAAAAAGGTTGGCTTCAAAATTTCGCAACGCTCACCAAGAAGGTGACTGTCGACATGTAAAAATCCGAATGTCTAGATGGCTCATTGTTGGTGGCCATTGTTGTTGTCTCTGACAGTGGGGCGCTGTCAATAGCCATGAAGGGTCCCAAATCAACTACGCCATTCTGAATGTGTTCCACACGTGACCGGAAGATGTGTATTGTCGTGCGCCCATGCGTGAAACGCCAGCGCAATGCACGGTAGTAGTAGGAACTGAGCACAGATCATGCAAACGTGATCGATCGAACCACATCAACGACACTGAAGCGGTCAATTGGTTTCACTCCTACCCTATTCAGTATCACTCAGGGCATTGCGAAGCTGTTAGAAACATGTTGGTGTAAACAAGGGAGGATCAATGTGAGCTGCACAGCTTCCGGTGGACGACTGCGTGGGCACTGTAAATGCCAAGGAAGTACTTGATGGGCATGCGACGGAGGCCGTGCCATCTCCGCGTTTACGATGGAAAAAGAAAAGAAGGAGAAGAAAAGAAGTTTACAACTCACAGACCTCGCTGAACGTGCCACTGGCGACTCCAAAGTGACTAAACAGACGCATCTGAAGAGACATTGAAGGAAGACAGAGTAGCGACTAGCGAATGTATCTGCTGGGATGATGTCAGTTGGCAAACCAGGAAACAACATTTGTGTAAGCGTGAATACTTGGTGGGAGGGTGTCATATCTGGTTCTGTGGTAGACGGGTGATCGGAAGGAAGTCAGGTCTCGGGACAACTCTAGCAAGGGTGAGGTCGTCGCTCGCTTGGTTACACTTGGCGAGAAGTGGGCAAGAAGAGGACCGAGACGTGGAGACGGGGACTGGCTATAACGCTCGATTCCATTGCAGATCACCGACGTTGGCTGCAATGGGTGCCGACAGATATATGAGGAGAAAAGTCTAGAGAAACGCAGCTGAGCCGTGCGCGAGCATCGTTGGGATGGACGACACGGTCGTTACTTGCTAACCATTATTTGACGCTGGTGACACTAGCTCCTCAGTCGTTTCAGAATTCTCTGGGTGGTTAGTCTGTAAAGGAACGGGCGTCAGTGCACCGGAAAACATGCCATGGAACGGAAGCCCCAAGTTCAGGCCAAGGCCGCAGCACACCTTGCCTTTCAGCCGCCACCTTGTCAACCACAATGTCACCGGAACGTCTGACAGTACCACCTAGTGCTGGAGATCGCAGCACATCCTCGTCGCCTCTGTTGTCAGAAACACCAGCCGTGAGTACTATGCACGTTGACACTGGCAGGCTCGATTGCACTACACACACACACCCCACGGCGACATTCAGACTACTTATCACACTCAGGACCCTGCAGCAGTTGCGGAGATCGCGCTCGCAGTTCAACTGGAACGACTACGAGTCACGGAAGCGTTGGCAGCCCGCGACAATGTGGTGGTACGTCTCGAGGACGCATATACCTCAGTCAGACAGAAATCAGCTACCATATCTCGCCTGGAACGAGAACTCGACGTTCTCAGGCGTTCGTCGACCCCATCGTTTTCGAATACGAGCGCACTACAAGAGAGTCAATGTTGCGATTCTTCCACCGCTGTCGAAGGTGCGACCGACGTCAACAAGAGCATCAATCTTGAAAGACATGTGAGAGAGATGCACCCAACAACTTCTTCGTATCTGCATGTTGGTGGTGCATTGCTCTCAATGATTGACTATGTTCACCTGTTAGGTACGTTCGGATTCGCCGTCCTCCTGGGTACGAATCGCAACACCACCCAAAACTACTTGCTTTCTGGAGCGTCGCGTCGCGTGTACCTCGCGATCATCGGACATGTTTTTTCCGACTGTAAATGACGATTCTAACGAACAGGTGAGCGCATATATGCGGCTAATCCACAGGGCCCTTCTGCACACTCGCCCAGATCACGTTGTCATCACTTTCGTTGGATGGTAGCGCCGAGAAGACCATCGCTGCGCGGCATTCGATACTTGCTGCGTTACCTCTTCCGTCCGACATCCCAGTAGATGAACTGCAGCCCATCGTGCTGCCACACTCATATTCATTAGGCGACTTCCTCCGCAATACCACGGGCGTGCGTGTTATTTTTGACGCACTCGTCTTACTGACCCTCCTGTCAAGACTTTAAAGAACTTGTGCGGATACCTGATCTTTCTTTCTAATCCGTTCTCTAGTTTAGGCAGAACCTTCAGACTAGGGAATTATCGCATTTTGACACAAGTCACGACGTACTGGTGTCCGGATCGAGAGGAACACGGGTACTTTCTCACTCCGGTTTTCAAGTGTACCACCAATCCGCGTGTCGTCACTGCTCATCGGTGGTCGCCCGTTGACGTACTTGGTCACATGCGAGAACCGACCGGTATGCTGGCTTGCTGAGAGGCCGGCGGACGAATGTCTCTCACTGCGATTACGTTCATTACAGAATGCTTTTATCACAAGGACGGGAAGTGGTATTATGCTGGCACGTATAAGGCGTTTCGCATGGACGATCTGACGACGCAAGAATGGGAATTGCTCTCGACCGAGGTACAGGATACGATTCGTAACTTTTCTCTCTTTACGTGGATATTTCTTAGACAACGCAAGCTATAATCAAGGAGACGCTCGCGGGCCGGAAGAACGTATCGCCTCAAAACACGTACGAAGCAAGTCAACTGTATGCGGCTGGAGCCCTGAAGGTTTCTTGCGTTGGACTGCAATGCATCGGATTCAATCATGAGGTGTATCACGCCGTCCTGGAACAATCCAGATTTGTACATTGGACGCGCAGCTCTGGCCGAACCGCCTCGACCCCACCCACTAGTCGGCGCGATGCAGGCAACAGTGATGACGGCAAGTCTTCGATTAATTGAGAGATTCTTCCCCTTCACAACTGTTATTCTTGTACTTTTTACCTGGGACATGTACAAGGCAATTTCTCGAGTGGCCTCTTCCTACTTCTCCGTTGCGCCACTGCAGTCGTATTCTTACCGTTAAGTGCTAAGAGTGCGGTGTACATAGTTCTGGCTTGCCTCGTAGGTCGATTCCCCAGTTGGGCACGAAGACTGACTTGTAGGGTTTATACGTGAACGTTTGTCCCTGCTGCTCCCCTTCCTCCTCTGAGTCTCCTGCACTCCATCAACTTGAGCCAATCCCTTGTGCCACTCTGCAGACATACCACCCAGTACTGCACTCTGTGGCAAGGCGAATTTGATCTTCTATGCCTCAACAAACTTGTTGCTCCGCTCTTGTATTGACGTTGAGCCGAGGATACTACGATCTGCCGGAGCCAGGATGCTAGGAAGAAAGGCATCCACGTTAACACCATTTCTGCAAATCCTTCTACGGCGAAAATTTGAGTCGTACGGATGGGGCGGTTGTACAAGTGCATTGATTACGTCTATAAGTTAACGCCCGTGAGAGACACTAGCTGGAAACACAGGACAAGAAGTAACTGCCCGATCAAGTCCATCGTTGCGGAGTGGATCGGTAGCGCATACATGTCAGGGTCTAGATCCTTCGACCACAGGAAATCCGTAAGCGCGTTTGCAATAAAGAGTGATATTGTCACCTGCGGACAAAAACAAACAAACAAACAGAGGATAGCATCGTATCAGGATTTGAGTCCAGCAGTCGACGTACCGCGCAACAGAACAAAAGCACGGTCAGAATAGCGAATAGTATAGGGAGTCTAAGCCATCCGAAGGCGTGTAAGGTGGCAAGGAAAATGATTTCTACAGGTATGGTGATAAGGAGAAGAGTGGTCGTGACGAGCTTTTTGGATGGCTCTTTTCGGCGGGAATGTGGATGATGCCTTACTGCATGAAGCGAAGTCGACAGTCGGGAGATGGAGATAGACCCTACGCTCCCTGGTAAACCTGTTGTACACTCAGATAAATGAGCTGACGCAGTGGTATTACCGCGCACCGCTAATCACGATCGCAAGGAGGGGGAATCCCTGGTACCGGGATGCAAAGGTGTCCAATACTATTCCCGTTGCACTGCTGATAACCATGGCACCGAATAATGGGAGCCAGCCATGCCATACGAGGTCTTTTACGCAGCTATTGCGCCGCACTACAAAGAAACAGGAAGTTGCTGACAGAACAAGACACAAGATAAGGATAAACGGGAATGGCGTGTTAACAAAGTTGATCAAGAACGAGGAAACAACTGCGAGTAGACACAGTGTGACCAAGTCGCCAAGGCAGGAGGCCACTGGAGGTGCAATATTGTCTGTGACAAAGTGGTCAGCTGAGAAACCTGTGAAACGAGTGGGTCCCTTAAACCTGGATCGAGTCCAAAGCGTCTACATGCTACAATGAGGGCGCACATGAAGGATCCGAGGAGTACACTGGATAAGCAGGCGGACATCATAGCAGATGATGCCACCATGATGAATCTAGGAAACGATGAGCTTCACGATTGGGTTGGCCTGTACAAGATGCACACTCAGCGAGTCCGGATTTTGGTTGCCCGGGTTTCATGGGTAGAGGTCGCGGCGCTCGGCTGATCAGCCTCATACTATCAGGGACCCCGCCACCAACTGATATGGGAGCAGTGGATGGGGGATCTGGAATGATCGATCCTAGAGCCATAGCTACGCAAGCAGCCACACTCGCTACGACTGTCACCTGGACTTGGAGAAGTGCCAAGTTGCCGTAGATGGTGTTGCGTCTGGTGCGGGGATCGTCCAAACTGCCCATATTGGCAGCAGTCCCAAGTCTTGCGGAAAGATTCATCTCCAGATTGCCTTTCAGATTGAGGATGACGGGTACGATCATGATCAACTCGTTAATTGCCCTCATAGCTCTCCACCGCTACTCCGGGAGTGAACGTCGTCCGCGGCCATGATGCAATTGAATACTCACCGACACGTGGTCCAAGAGCTCTCCGGTGAACAAGAGACCGACAGTAGTTAAAAGCAATGTAGGCGCACTCTGCCTCGTTTATAAAGCAACCTCCTCTGACTGGCAGGCGATTGACACGCACCTCGACAACAATGCTGCCCACCTGTTTCCACCAAACGGAATAATGACCGTGTTCTCGGACACCTATAAGCCCATATTCATCTGCGAGTAGTGCAGCGTTGCCGTCTTCGTCGTGTCCACCGTCTTCGTGAGTGTCGTATTCTGCTGTACGAAGATTGCCCGCGTGAGATAGGTGCTTCAAGGCGTTCCAAAGCTTCCAGTTCGATGTCGTCGCTGTCTATGCTGGTCAGGTCGCTTCCCGAGCGACTTGTATGGCCCTCCTCCCTGCCATTCATTGGGTACTTTAACACTGACTTAGTTATGTACTTGACTGACCCGGGGGACCCCCTTTGGCTCGGTCCAATAACGTGTGGGAAAAAGAGCATTACGTAATCCATCAACAAAACCACGGCCTTGACGCTCATGATACACTGCTAAACCGTAGCCTGGATTGTTCACAGCTCGTCGTAGTCGTTTATCTGGCTGCTGCGCTCCGCAATCGTCGCCGGGACGACCTGGGCACCCAGAACTGAGCCCACTAGCCGCGGTTCCGTTGTGAAATCCACGTTCCTGGAGCGTCTTTGACCTCCGAAGCGCCCCTCATGTCGTCCAAATTATTCCCTTATTCTCAACCGACTCCAATCCGGTCTGCGCTCTTTAAGAACCCACAAGACCCAGTGCCGCCTACGGATGACTTGGATGCACTGCAAAATGAACTCAAGTCACTCCGGCAAAGGTGCATGGAACGGGCAAAGAAGGCAGGAGAAGACCTTAAGACTCTCGAGGAATCTATGCGCCGCATGAAGGAGAAAGTAAAGGGGAAAGCAAAGGCAATGGAAAAGGTCAACCGGGAGCGCGGCTGTACGTCTTTCTGTTCGCGCCGCGTGTATATGCTTACCCACTTCCCTTATTCGCGCATGTCTTAAATGCCTGGGCATATCTGCAATGAACAATCGGATGAAACGTTGCGAAATTATTGCTCTCTACGTCTCTGTCTTTGTTATCCGATCCACCAAATTTTCATGCGGTACTTATCAAATATCTCGTATCTCCGCGCCACCTGTGATGTTTTTCGCGTACCAGTTTGTGATCTTGCAGTCACTCCACACCGAGAGGTGGATGAACCCTCTTTTTCCACTTCTTCGCTTAATGGAACCGCGAAAGTCCCGTGCCCCTTCCATAGTCTCGTCGCTTCCACCCTCCGGAAGAGCATCAGTCGATCCTCGGCGGTCGTAAGTAAATGACGGTGCCATTCGATGCAGAACACTTATTGGATTACCATGCTTCCATCAGATTACAGGAGGATTTGAAGAAGAAGAAAAAGAAGCGGAAAAGGGAGGACGATAGCGACTTGGAAGGTTCTGCGCGAATATCTACGACATTCATAATACCAGGGACTGATAACATGTGTAGATTCCGTTAAATCTGTCAAGACCGTTCCGGTCGCCCATCCCTCACCTGTATTACCGGTCAAGACTGCGAAAGTTCCAGGACCTATATTAAATCATGCGAAGGTGCCTACATACTTCCAGCGGTTGTGCCGAACCTATCTGACGTAGCTTCAGTCGACCATTGGCCCTGATTTTTCCGTCCCCCCATCCGTTCAACTACTCCCACCTCGACCGCCGGTAGCCCCACCACCTGTTGCTGGGCCTAGTAAACCTACAGAAGTTATGGAGGACTTCAGTAAGCTCAAGCAACCACCTCAAGTTCCAGTTAATACTTTCTATACGAGCATCGAACCATGGATACGAGGCATCAAGGAGGAAGACATAGGCTTTCTCGAGTTCACAGGGGACGAAATAGAACCCTACATAATTCCTAAACTCGGGCGACATTACACCGAAGTGTGGGAGGAGCAAGATATGGAGATATATGGTACACCGCTCCCCGGCTTCTCTTCACATCGAACAGGGCGATAGTTCCGGCTCTCTACCGAAGTGGGATCCTTCGACACTTTCGGAGCCAGATTTATTGACTGAGGAGCGAAGTCATGGACCGTTGACGGAACGGTTGATAAGCGCATTGCTACCAATGCCTGACGTTACTGTGTGGAAAGGTGTGAAGGCAGCAGAGGAGGCGATGGAGGGCAGGCCAGGTGGTACTGGGGCCGCTGCAGCTAGACGCGAGAAAGTGAACGTCGCGGACTTGGAAGAACGGATTCAAGACACGATGCGATTTCATGGTTTGTTGCCGGAGCCGGTAATTCCGAATCTCCGTATCATGTGCAATATTTTACTGATTACGCGTTCTGTAGCCTAATTACTCTGCAAGGGTTGACGATCCAATCGCAACAGCCCTTCGTCACGCGCAGCAGGAGCTTCGTGAAGTCGTCGCTATGAACAAGGCTCGCCGAGAGCGACTCGTGGCGATAGCCAAGGACCGTCTAGCATATCAAGAATTTCTCGATGCACGGGATTCCCTTGATAAGGTGATCCTAGCTACCTATACCAAGCTTCAGAAGAAGGATGCTCCGAAACTGGGCAAGAAGAAGAAGAGGGGTCCTGAATCGAACGGAAGTACGAGTACAGTTGATATCCCGAAACCTCCACCGTCGGCGCTTGGCCTTGGCCCAGACGACGACCTTTCATTTAGTCGTTCCTGACCAGCTTGAAACAACTGGTAGAAACTCGAGCGCAGTGGGTATCCAGTGTGGGGAGCATTTTCGAGGAAAAAGAGAGGGAATGTCCGGGTCGAATATGGAATCTACCGAAGAAGAGTATATACGAGGGGCTGGAAGAAGTCGTGAGGCAGTGAACTGGAGAAGTCACAACCGCCTATAATCGAGGGCAGTCAACGGACTACGTCGCAGAACCGTGGAGATGAGATGGACGTTGGATGATGCCCTATAGTTATTTGATAGCATGCTTCATTAATCTTATTTTTTCATGTTCATGGTTCCTGCTACTTGCTCACTTCACTCTTCTTCGCAACCTCATCTTTAAATGCCGTTGTGTACGCTCGTCAATCAATATACATACATACGTGTCGTGGTCAAGGAATCACTTCCATCGTCAGAGAAGCAACAGGAGAAACGAGTACTAGTCATTCGACTTGTGCTTTTTGGATTTTTTCGGTGTTTCCCCTTCCTTTTTCCGCTTCTTCCCCTTCGACACCTTCTCCGTGACTCGAGGCGCCTCCTCTTGAGGCTGCTCAGAAACGCTATCGGGTGGTGCAGAGATTTCGACATCCATGGGTTCTTCAACGGCAGTGATATCCAGTTGAGAGCGTGCGCCATACGGAACGAACGTGTGTTTTAAGACATCTTTTGGGTATGACGGGCGAGGTGGGTTTTGATGAATGATCGGCTGAGGCCCTGGAGCTGTAGGCGTCGCTTGTTGTGCTGAAACGATGATATGACGTGCTACTGCCTTGGGAGCTGATACGGTGTGTGAGTAAAGTCAAAATCAATTTGGCGCTTCGATACCTATGCAAAGTTTGCCTTTCTTCTTCTTCCGAGGGAGCAAGCAAGACAGACACCGGAGTTCCTCTCCTCCAATCAAGTCCGTATCATCCCCGCCCGCCGACCAAATATCATGCACGACATTCTTTCGTGTAAGGCTTCCGACTCGTGCAGTTCTAGATGAGATAGGTAGGTCGATTTCCACCCCTTCTAGGTGTTTAGCTTGGATCTGTCATGGTAGGCGTCAAGGACTTTCATAACAACTGCACGAAGAATGACCACGCACTGAGTCCGGGACGCGTATAAGCCAAAGCTCAAGGTCATCGTCATCCCTAATTGTATCCCATTCGAACGGTCCCGGGTCGACTGAATGATCCAGTAAGATAGCACCTGGTGGGGGTTTATAGGCCCAGTGAGGGTTGTCCCCTTCATTTTTCTCAGGCTCCGCGATTCCAATGGGCGTGGCTCTTGTCTTTCTCTTCTTCTTCGATGATCTGTCCTTCTTGCTTGCAGATTTTTGGACTGTCAGTGTCTGAGGTTCCGGCGAGGACATTTTTCGAAAATGATTGGCCAGGGTTGGTTGGCAGGAGCCTTGAAAACAAATAAGGTAGATTACGTAACCCATCGGTATGCTTCGCGGTGGATCTGCGTCGTCAGTCCAGTGATAGTGACGGAAAAAATGGCTAAAGGTTCTCCAGCAGTCTTGACCATCGCAGGCTCTGATTCGAGTGGGGGGGCTGGTATACAAGTGCGCAGTGGATTATTATTATTACTCACTCGGAGAATGACTGGACCTCAAGGCAGACCTGAAGACATTTGCAGCCTTCGGGTGTTACGGTGCCAGCGTGATCACAGCACTCACAGCACAGAACACCATCGGTGTACAAGCTGTTCATGGGGTTCCTCCAGAATTTGTTTCGCAACAGGTACTTGCCTCCCTCCGTGGGTATACATGCCTCTGTTGAAGCTACTTTAATGCGTAGATAAATTCCGTGCTAAGTGATATAGATGTTCGCGGAATGAAGACCGGTATGCTCTTCGACTCTGCAGTTATCCATGCGGTGTCCTCCACTTTAAAGGAGCATTTCACAAACAAAGGCGTGATCCCCTTGGTCTGCGACCCCGTTTCCGTCTCGACCTCCGGTCACTCCTTGTTGCATCCCGATGCTGTTGATGCCATGGTAGACGAAATATTCCCTTTATCCTGCCTTATAACACCAAACAAGTCTGAGGCAGAGCTACTGCTGCGCAAACGGGGATTTCCCTCCTTGATTAACACTGTGCAAGACATGATAATCGCTGCCCAAAATCTGTCGACCCTCGGATCGAAGGCTGTCCTGCTCAAGGGAGGACACATAAACATAACTCGAGATGACTTAAATGGCGTAGTTTCGCTTGCCGTCGCGGATATCGAGGTCAATCATGACTTCATATTTGACAAGAACGTCGAGATTCTTCAGGCGCACAACGCTGCGAACTTGACGAATGAACTTGTCGTCGACGTCCTTTACATCCACTCTGAACGAAAGGCTATCCTATATCCAAGACCACGCTTGGTGTCTTCGAATACCCATGGAACTGGCTGTACCCTAAGTGCAGCCTTGGCTTGTGCTCTTGGAAGAGACATTGCCTGTACGCCATCTTATTTTCGATAATCGCTCTCCTTAATGATCACTAGTGGCCGAGGCAACCGCTCAAGCCACGTCGTACACTCACTTAGGAATTGAAACCGCTTCTCCAATTGGCCAAGGTTTTGGTCCCTTAAATCATCTCCACTCTGTAACGAAGTCATTGATCGCCCCGTAAGTCCCCCATTATATACTTGCTTTGCATACGAGAGTTTATTGTGCATCATCGATAGACGGACAGTCGGAAATCCCTTCCCTCTGACATATAGCCTCATTCGAGACACTTCGGCTACATGGACCAAGTACGTGCAGCATGAATTTGTCGTCCAACTTGGCAAAGGCACGCTTGATCGGTCGTCCTTTATTCATTTCATCAAGTAAGTCGTTCCACCCCCGATTCGCGTTGCTTCTCAGCAAAGCACAGACAAGACTATCACTATTTGAAGTACTACGCCCGAGCACATGCGTAAGTTTCAAGTCGTAGTAACCCGCGACCGTTCTCAGTGCCCAAAACAGCCTCCTTGCTGCTAAATCGGATAATTTCACTCCGATCTTGGCAGCCACCCACATTGTGTTGCATATTGCTAAAGAGAGTTCTATGCACACGTCCTACTGTGCCCAGTGGGGTATCACTAAAGAGGAGCTAGAATCGACGCCCGAATCAACCACGACGACGGCTTACGGTGCTTTCCTTCTAGACACGGGGCTGCAGGGTGCGTGGCACCAACCATGTAGAGCTCGGCGTACTAAATTGTCTCGATTTTCAGGCGACACGATGAAATTGGTAATGGTGCTAGCCGCTTGCCTCCTTGGATATGGTGAAGTTGGCCTGTGGCTGAAGAGCGAGGCACAAAAACCGAATTCCTGGGTCGTGTGGGAAGGAAACCCGTACCTCAAGTGGATGGAGGACTATTCCGGAGAGGACTATCAGAATGCAGTGAAAGTCGGTCTCGGTGAGAACGCGCATTCTTCCGCCTGACATTACCACTGACCTTGGGTACCACAGAAACGATAGAAAGTCGCGCATTGCAGGATCCTCCTTCTGCCGCACGTTATGCTGAGTGGTTGGCTGTCTGGGAGAGGTGCACAAGCCTCGAGAAGAGCTTTTGGGACGTGGCTATGAACCTGTCATAGCAACTGATGTACGCGAGGACCTGGCCACTATTAACTCCTGTAGAGATGTACTTCGTAGCAAATATCCAACGCCCAAACTTGGCCTCAGACAATCAACGATCGCTATTGTTTCCACCACATTTGTTGGTTATTTCCCTCCGGTGGTCCGCTTCATAACACCGTCTCTCATTTCTGTACTTGACTCATTGGGACTGGACTGACACCAACTACTGAGCACCTTCTGCTTCACCTCACAGATCAGTTGAGGAAACCAGTCTTCCTAGCTTTCGATCTTCTTATCACACATGCCAGGACTAGGGGAACGACACACGTAGCGTTCAAGGGAAGTAATACAACGGACGACGGCACAAAGGAGGAACGCAGAGGCCAACCGAAAAACCGTCCCGTGCACGCCCCCGGATGAAAAGTCCCAGAACATTGGTTGCGAAGGGGACGAATCTCTCAGTTAACCGAAGACTTGCCACCGTCATTGCTTCCACCATGTCGACCCGCAGGTGTGGTCAGGGCGATCCATCCAGACCTGCGCGTTCAGTGTACGAATCGGGATTGTTCCAGAACGGCGTCATTGAATCCAATGTATTGCAGTCCAACGCAAGATACCCTAAGGGTTCCAGTTGCATACACTTGACCTGTTTCGTGCGTGTTTTGAGGCGGCACATCCTCCCGGCCCGCAAAAGTCTCTTTGATTACCGCTCGTCTGAGAAATATCCACGTAAAAAGAGAAAAGTTACGAATTATATCCTGTGCCTCGGTCGAGAGCAAATCCCACTTCTTGCGTCGTCAGATCGTCCATGCGAAACGCCTTATACGTGCAAGCATAATACCACTTCCCGTCTTTGTGATAAGAGCATTCTACAAAGAACTTCATCGCGGTGAGAGACATTCGTCTGCTGGCCTCTCAACAAGCCAGCATACCGGTCGCTTCTCGTATGTGACCAAGCACGTCAACGGGCGACCACCGATGAGCATTGACGACGCGCAGATTAGTGGCGCACTTGAGAACTGGAGTGAGAAAGTACCCATTCCCCGATCTGGGCACCAGTACGTCGTGACTTGTGTCAAGACGTGGTAATTCCCTGGTCTGAAGATTCTGGTTAGAGAACGGATTAGAGAGGAAGATTGGGTGTCTGCACAAGTTTTTTAATATCTTAACAGGAGGGTCAGTAAGACGAGTACGTCAGAAGTAACACACACGTCCATGGTATTGCGGAAGGAATCTCCTAATAAATATGGGTGTAGCAGCACGATAGGCTGCAGTTCAACTATTAGGATGTTGGAAGGAAGGGGCAGCGCGGCAAGTATGGAATGTCGCGCAGCAATGGCCTTCGCAGCACTACCACCCAATGAAAGCGATGACAGGACGACCTGGACATGTGTGCAAAAGGGTCCTGTCAGTTAGCTGCATATATGTGCTCACCTCTTCGTTGGAATCGTCATTTACAACTGGGACAAACTTTTCCGACGGCCGCGAGGTACACGGAGCACGACAGTTCCAGAAGGCAAGTAGTTTTTGGTAGTGTCGCGATTCGTACCCAGAAGGACTAGTGAATCCAAACGTACCTAACAGAGAATATAATCAGTCACTGATAGTATCATCAAATAGCTCGATGATGAGAGCCATCGACACGCAGATACGAAGAAACCTCTAGGCGCAATTCTCTCACATGTCTTTCAAAGCTAATGTCTTTTTCGACGTCCGTCAGGTTTTTGGCAGCGGCGAAAGGATTGCAACATTGACTCTCTTGCAGCCAGCTTGAATTCGAGGACAATGAGGTTCGATGGCCGCCTAAGGTTCTCGAGTTCTTGTTCTAAGCGAGACAGGGTCGCTGTTTTCTGTTTAACTGAGTTATATGCGTCCTCAGGACACACCGAAATGTCACGAGTTTCCAACGCCTCCGTCGTTCCAGCTGAACTTCAAGTGCAATCTCTACAACTGCTGCAGGGTCCTGAGTGTGATAAGCAGTCTGAATGTCGCCGAGTGGTGTGTGTAGTGCAATCGGACTTGCCGGTGTCAACGTGCATAGTACTTACGACTGGTGTTTCTGACAACAGAGGCGACAAGGATGTGCTGCGATCTCCAATGCTAGGTGGTACTGTCAGACGGTCCTGTGCCATTGTGGGTGGTGGTTGAAAGTTACACAAGGCGCGCCACGGCCTCAGTCTGAACTTGGGGCTTCCGCGCTCGACGTTCAGTGGCATGTTTCCCAGTCCACTGACGCCGGTTTCTTTACAGACTATGGTCCCAGAGAATTCTGAAACGACCGACGAACTCGTGTCGCCAGCGTCAAATGGTGAGACCCGGTAGCGACTGCGTCGGCCTTCCCGACGGTGCTCGCGCACGGCGCAGCCCTATTTCTCTCGACTTTCGTCCTCATCCATCTCATTGCACCCAAGTATCAGTGGATCTGGACCAGCATCTAGTGACTAGCGATATAGTCCGTCTCCGTCTCCATGTGCCGCTTCTCTTACCCTGGTGTAACCCAGCGAGTCATGCTCGCACTTGCTTCCTTTTGATCCTCCCTCTGCCACAGATCTACATACAACCAATCAAACGTGGTTCCAGCATGCCCCAGCCGACGAAGCTTCTGATCATCCCAGCATATGTATGCTCCACCCTTTGTCGCCCCCCACCCACGTCGCCCCCGAATACATCATTTCAGTAGTTATGCGTTTCCCAGGGCGCTCCCAACCAAATCTGTGAGTTACATAACTCCCAAATTTTCTATCACGATTGTGAGGTTGGCCTTGTAAAAGGCATCTTTGCGACGGTCGGTCTTCGTCGTATACCCCCATCAAATATTGCTTTGGCACCCGCTGATTTACAGCGTGTGCGTATTCACCTAATGGATCGGCTTTCAGTGGAAGCTGCGCTACTTACATTCTTCCTGCATCTGTCTCCCAGTTTCGCAATGTTCCGACTGATACTGTGTAGGGCAGGACTAAAATCGACAGACCGCGTTAGTGCCTTTGATGCGGTTCAATCGATCACGCTTGCATGACCTGTGGATCAGTTCCTACCACTACCATGCCATCAGCGCTCCATGCCTGGGCGGGCGACGATCCACGGTTTCCAAAATCAGAGTCTCGTCGTCCTACCGTCACGTGTAGGACACGTTCAGAATAGGGGATCCCTTTATAATTCTCGATAATGCCCCTTTGCCAGACAACACAATTATGTCCACCAACTGTGAGGTATCTAGACATTCGGATTTTCACATATCTGCAGTCACCTTGGCAGGTGCTACGAAAGTTTACTGCAATGCCAAATCCTTTTCTGGGGATACCGTACTAATGCGTCATGTCTATGTGGGAGACTCCTTATTTAGGGCTCCTAGAGAAACTTTTCAACAAGAACCAGACGTACTAGAGGACGGCAGGCACCTTGTTTACGGACACGTCATCGAATCCCATAATTTACGGCTAGCAATCAATACTAGAACAAGGCCGTCGCCGCCAGCAGGCACCTTGTTTACCACACCTGAGCATGCTACAGTTGTGAGGTGGCTGATGGAATTTGCCATGCAGACTTGTTGTTGAGGCATATGCATGGATGTCAAAAAAAGCATCTCAATTTTTGGGGTGCAGTGACCTTGTAAACAAGGTGATTCATACCAGTCTAACATTTCCATTGCAGTGCTGTCAGAGGTCATGCCCCTTTCTTGCCACATCGGTGTTGCCACCCACACTCTAATTGCACCCTGTCTGTTGTCCTTGCCTTGACTCTATCCCCCTGTTATATGCAAATGAATCTTCAACAACATGCTATCATTCCTCAGAGCTTTTGGTGGCCATCTTCTAAGTTTCCTCACTTTTGATGAAACACTGATCAGAGAGAAGATCCCTTCAGATAATGAGTGCATGCACAGCAATGTCAGTATCAGGTACTCACATGTCATTGTTGAACATGAACAAATAGCCATCCAGAAAGGCAGGATATGTGCTGCATATGTACCCACCAAGTAACCACATGACATTGATGACCCCCAAGCACTTGAGGATGTCAGCAGGCTTCACAACATTGTGACAGAGATCAGATGTTTGAAGCCATAGACAGCCACTGTCAGTCAAATTGCAGGGCATACACCTGCAACTGTAAGGCAAATGATGATACTCTTCACAGCTGCCAAACTCAAAACCACATGTGCTGTATTTCTGCAGGGCTGCCATGGTTTTGAAGCTGATTGAGCCATAATAAATGGGATGTGGGTTGATCAGTGCATGGTGATGGAATGTCAGGTTGGGATATTTGCAAAAGATGGTGTCAGTGCTGATAAGATTCATCACTGCTGTGCTGTGGAATTGAAACAGCAGGGAGATAGCAGTCGATGTCTTGGGGACAATGACATCAATGTAATGAGTGCCATTGGCATATGTGAGAGTACTGCAAATGGCAGACATGTCATAAGGGCTGGCATTGATGATTCAACATCCAAGTGAATATCTGTGACAAGAGGACCAAAGGCTTGCAGCTCTTGACCATAAGACATTGTTAGACTGGGAAAGAGCCAAAGTGACATAGATTGCACTTGCACCAAACTAGAGTGCAAAGATACATGCCTTCAATTCACTGCCACCATTGATTGGTCTTCATCTGCATGTAAACCCTTTGGCTTGGAGTTTGAACAAATGAACAGGGACAGTCTAGGCACACAACTGTACATGGGCACATGCCTTCAATGCACTGCCACCATCAATTGATCTTCATCTGTGAGTTAACCACCTTTTCATTTGAGCTCATTACAGTCGTACATAAATGCAAGTACATAAATGCATGCCAACAAATCTTTGCCTGCATGATTTGAATTGGACTTTGTAAAGAGGAATGTTTGTGGATGTTGAAAAATGAGCAACAAATTTCAAGGTGCAGTGACCTTGTAAACAAGGTGATTAAAGCCCCAGATAATACTGAGTAGGATAGGGGTAAGACTGATTGACCCTGTCAGTGCCCTAGACATGGTTCTACTGATCACGTTTGCATGACCTGTGCAACAACTCCTACCACTACAATGTACTCTAATGGCCTTCCACGTATGGGCACTCGACGATTCGAGGCTTCTAAAATTGGAGGATCGTCGTCTTGCCGTCACGTGAAGATGGCCCCTGATAGCGTAGCTGACTCGGGTCCCTTCATACGGTTATCGATAACGCCCCGCTGTCGTACAAAGCAACCATGGCCACCAACAATGGGGCATCTAGGCATTCGGATTTTTACATATCGACAGTCATCTTCTTGGTGAGTGTTGCGAAAGTTCTAAGCCAAACTTTTTCCGGGGACCCATCGTAGTTATGCATCTCGTGTCTAGGTGGAAGACTCCTTGTTTAGGGTTCCTAGAGAACCGTTCCAACAAGAGTCAGACGTATTTTGCGACATGTTTTCCCTGCCACAGGGTGACGGAATTATCGTGGAGGGATCAAGCGACGAAATTCCCATTCAACTTCATGGAACTAGCAAGGACGATTTCGAGCAACTGTTGAAAGCTCTTCTCCACAGGTTAGCATTCGATCTGTTTTTTGTGAGAGCATAGAGATAGTGGATGATACCCTCTTCTAGAAAATATGGTTCACAGCCTGATTTGCCACAAAGTATCGAGCAGTGGACATCTGTCCTCAAGCTGTCTACGGCGTGGAGTTTTGAGACGTTGCACCAAGTGTCCATCAATGCACTGATGGAGAGTGGGATTGGCGCTGTTGATAGAGCTGTTCTTTCCCAACAGTACGACATCAAGGGCTGGCTATTGCCCGCTTTAAATGAGTGGGCTAAACGACCGGAACCAATAACTTTGGAGGAAGTAAATCGGGTGGGCATTGATATCGCGATCAGACTGGCTTCTGTACGTGAAAGGGTTACCGTAAAAGCCAGCTGCAGCTGTTGCAGGCCCACCCGCAAACCCAAGAATGAGTACCCGGTTGATGGTCCCTATGGCTATGCTACCCAAGAACGCGACGACAACAATGGCGTTGCTGTCGGCAGTTGCAGAGACCCCAGAATGCAAAACTGCGACTTTTCTAATCAGATTCGTTCCACATTCTCTACATTCGATTTGTAGACCATACTTACAATGTTACGTGGGACGTAAACGAGTCGCTCGTCCCCCGGTTGCAGTATGGGGCTGTACATCTGATGTCCTGATTTATACGTATATCCTGCACTCCTGTCCCAGAGATGTTTGAAGAATCAATGAACACTACAGTTACCATTGCGCATATCGTCCAGCTCTCCGACTCACCATCTTGTCAAAAAATGGAGACTGGTTCTCGTCTGTAAAGAGTGGTGACATTTTGCTATTTCGCAACCCTTACTGAGTCATTTTCATCGACAAGGCCCGACGTACGCTCTCGTTGTAGCCCACTGCAGGGTTATCCAGTGAGGTGGTAGAAAAAGACCTCTCAGATGGACACAGGGGTTGGGTATTGTCCAATATACATCGAGGAGGAGCATTTGCTGGACACTGGATCGAGTGTTTGCCTAGCCTCGAAATCGTTTCATTTCACACCGGAGCAGCATATCCCTTTGTGATACTGTGTAAGTACTACGTCGACCAAAGAAGAAACTGGGGTTCGCGCTACCCATCTCGTGATACTTCGTTGGCCACCAATTGAATATATTGTTTCGAGTGCATTATCATATGTGTCCTACGTGTCCTCCCATTTCATAGGGCTGCAGTCAGCATCCCAGTTTCGAGGACTGGGCATGGCGGACATGCATACGTGTCATGGGCCGTGACACATTTCGTAACCTATGCTCTCAGTCTAATTTTCGCTGAGCTCCATTGCCATGCCTATGGCCAAAGTTAGCTACACTAAGCACTTCCATATCTCCATGTCAGACACAAGTTGACGTACCGAATGTCGGGTCAGACGCCATCCACAGACACTGACGGATCGCAGCCATCGAGGCCAGATTCGAATTACCCGACAAGCCCAAGGAGGCGGCGATGGCCGTCGTCGAAAAATACAGGATCGAGTGGTTGAACTTATCGGAACCCAAACAAATTTCTACGCCAAGAACCGCATGGTCGCCACCTTGATCTCCACCGAAACCGTGACCATCGGCGACGTCGACTATAGCTCCGCACGGATTTCCATAGAACTCAGCATTGAGAAGAAAGTCGATGCGATCGTCGGTCAAGAGGTGCGTATTAGTACTCCTGTACCAACTCGAGTCTGATTTGGATTCACTCGACTATGAATGGGTGCCTGGTGAACACTATTTCCCGGGTGTCTATACGCTCACGATGCTCGACTACATGTCACCACTGCACCTGCCCTCTCCGTGAAGGCACCACCATTGGTCACCTCACCGACGTGATCCTGCGGCTCAAAATATCGTTTCCGCCACACATTAGCTGGTTACTTCGCTCCAGTGGTCCGCCTCATAACTCCACCTCTCCTTACTGTGCTTGACTCAGACTCATTGGAATGGGGATGACCTTCTGCTTCACCTCACAGGTCAGTTGAGGAAACTAGTCATCCTAGCTTTCGATCTTCTTATAAAACATCCCAGGACTAGGGGAACGACACACGTAGCGTTCAAGCGTAGGAATACAACGGACAACGGCACAAAGGAGGAACACAAAGGCCACTCGAAAAACCGTCCCGTACACACCCCAGATAAAAAGTCCCAGAACAATAGCTGCAAGGGGAGGACCTCTCAGTTAACCGAAGATTTGCCATCGTGATTGCTTGTACCATGTCGACCGGCGGGTGTGGACAGGGCGGTCCATCCAGACCTGCACGTTCAGTGTACGAATCGAGATTGTTCCAGGACGGCGTGATACACCCCATGATTGAATCCAACCTAGGATACCCTCAGGGCTCCAGGTGCATACAGTTGACGTGTTTTGAGGCGACACGTTCTTCCGGCGCGCAAGCGTCTCCTTGATTATTGCTTGCGTCGTCTGAGACATCCACGTAAAGAGAGAAAAGTTGCGAATCATCTCCTGTACCTCGGTGGAGAGTAATTCCAACTATTGAGTCGTCAGATCGTGCATGCGAAACGCCTTGTAAGTGCCAGGATCATACGACCTCCCGTCTTTGTGATAAAAGCACTTCTACAAAGAACGTCATCAGCGGTGAGGGACATTTGTCTGCTGGCCTCGCAACAAGCCAGCAGACCGGTCGGTTCTCGCATGTGACCAAGGACGTCTGCAGCCGACCACCGATGAGCATTGACGACGCGCGAATCGGTGGCGCACTTGAAAGCACGAGTAAGAAAGTACCAGTGTTTCTCCCGATCCGGACACCGGTACGTCGTGGCTTGTGTCAAGATGCGGTAATTCTTTAGTCTGAAGATTCTGACTAGAGAGCGGATTAGAAAGGAAGGTAGGGTATCCGCACAAGTACTTTGAAATCTTGACAGGGAGGTCAGTAAGACAAATAACACGCACACCCGTGGTATTGCGGAGGAAATCGCCTAATGAATATGAATGTGGCAGCACGTTAGGCTGGAGTTCATCTGCTGGGATGTTGGACGGAAGGGGAGGTAAAGCAAGTATCGAATGCCGCGCAGCGATGGTCTTCTCCGCACTATCATCCAGCGGAAGCAATGACAGCGCGATCTTGACGTGTGTGCAGAACAGTCCCGTCAGTTAGTTGTATATATGCGCTCACCTCTTCGTTGGAATCGTTATCTACAATTGGAACAGACTTGTTCGACGACCGCGAGGTACCCGCAGTGCGACATTGTAGTTTTGGATGGTGTCGCAATTCGTACCCAGCAGAACGGTGAATCCCGACGCACCTAACAGAGAACATAGTCGATCACTGATAGCATCGCCAAATGCTCGATGCCGAGAGCCATCGACATTCGAAGAAACTGCTGGTTGCCTTTTTTTCACATGTGCTTCAAAACTAATGCCCTTCTCGACGTGGCAGCGGTGAAAGAATCGCAACATTGACGCCTGCCGTGCGTTCTGATTTACTTACATGAAGACGAAGGGGTCCACGACCGCCTGAAAATCTCGAGTTGTCGTTCCAAGCGAGATACGATAGCTGATTTCTGCCTAACTGAAGTATACGCGTCCTCGAGACGTACCACCACATTGTCACGGGCTGCCAATGCCTCCACGACTCGTAGTCGTTCCAGCTGAACTGCAAACGCAATCTCTGCAGCTACTGCTGGGTCTGGTGTGTGATAAATCGTCTGAAGCGTCAAGTAGCGTGTATAGTGCGTGCATACCATTAGTATTTCTGAAGACAGAAGCGGCGGGGATGTGCGTACTGTCAGACGGTCCTCCACTAGTGCGACTAACAACGTCGCGGTGGTTGAAAGGTTTGCAGGCTCAGTTTGAATTTAGGCTTCCGCGCTCGCAACGGTCTATTATCCCACTGTGCAACAACGTCCATTTCTCTACAGGTTTGTGTAGCTTGCACCACCGTGGACCCACAGAATTTTGAAACGGCAAGGGAACTCGCGCCGCCATCGTCAAGCAATGGAAAAACCATAGCGACTGCTTCGTCCATCCTGATAATGCTCGCGCACAGCCCAGCGACATTTCTCTCGATTTCCTTCATCATACATCTGTCAGCACTTATTGCATGCAACGTCGGTGGATCTGGACTAGCACCCAGCTTCATGGTTAGTAGTCTTTCCTACATCTTGGTTGAGTGGGGCTGATCTGGTTTTGGTTGTGAATTATGATGCTCCTTCTGGGTAGGAAGTACTATCAAACCGTGTTCGGGGAACGATGCTTGCTCTTCTTACCCTTCGCTATCCACGTTACGTCGATTGTAGCCATGCGATTCGCCTTCACTCTCGCCTCGCACTCATCTTCTACTTCGAGCCGTCTATATCAAACTCGCATACGTTGACTGATGAGCCTACTCAGTATCTCAGCATGCACCACATTCTTCGCCTTCGTCCCTATCCATGTCGTTACCCATAGACTCTTACCTGCAGAGGCTGAAGCGGACACTGTTGCATGGCCTTCAAACGATGTCGACCCGGACCCGCTCCTCCGAACTTTACTCTGAATTCGTCAAATCCACTCTAACGACCTGAAGTTGGATGCTCTACACGAGCCTTGTAGGCTGCGCACTCGTGCAGCCGCGGAAGGCGCATCGGTTATTCATGCACGGTACTTCAGGGGCCGCGTGGATTTATCAAGCTAGTTGTCTTTGTGTGGCAGCAGTGGAAGTGACGGAGGAGTCACTAGGGGCAGCAGAAGGGCTGATATTATGGCAGGTCTGGCTGCATTTACGGTATTGACAGGTCTCCAGGTGCTGTCAAAGGAGCCAGCGTTCATGCTGTCGCTAGTCATATGGCGGTACCAGGTTACCTTGATGGGGTCTTTGGTGTATCGCTTGTAAAGTGCATACGTCTTGGGTGGCACCTAGCTGCGTGGGTGGGGTGTACGTGTTTACAGTTATGAATTGTATGATAGCTGAACTATTTCGTCTAAGACCACACGAGTGTTCATTCGATTGGGATGAATTTACCTCACGATATGAAGGCCTCTGGGCTGGTAACAGCCATGTGGCCTTATATCAGCTCACGGAGGTTGCGAAGCCTAAGGCGTGATCTTCTCGTGGAGGGTATCACCCATACGTACGCCAACCCGGTTGAAACTCAACCATCCCTTGTACCCCAAGGCCATTTCCGCTTAAACCTATGATAATACCAGTGATATACATGGTAATGTCTAGGGGTAACTGGTTATGTCAAAAAGTTCACCAAGTCCAGCTTGGAATTTATACGATCATGCCTGCAAACCCTCTGTAACAGTTGAACAAATCATCTTCCTAGGTGTACGACAGCTTGGTTTGCATGGGCAAACACCTGATCATGTCCGAGGTGATGCCCACGTATGTGATGGATAAAATTGTGCCTGCTAACTGGGCATTGACAGTTTTGCCACATACAAACCAACCCGACTTCACGGGCCATATTTGTGATACCGTGCTTGTTTTTGAAATGGCCCGGTACTGTACCGCAGTTGATAGGCTCGAGGCATTCCCAGCCTTCGGGATCCGTATAAAGGCACAAAGTAGTCCATAGACAGCAAGTATACTGACTCTGTATCATTTCGGGGGTTGACTTTCTCTCTGCATTTGCAGCTCAGAAAATACACACTGCTTGTTGGTCCACCATGGGGGCCTCTTGGGTGGCATTGCTCGAGAGGTGGGGTATGCTGCATTGCCAAAGATTGGGCAACCTTCAGAGGCACAAAACATGACAGAACACACCTATTTGTGGCTGAATTCATGTAGTGCTCGGGCACCTAGCTGCTGTCCAATGATACTCAGTTATAGAAGAGAGATGCACTGTGGTCCCTGCAAGAGGTCTTTATATGTGAAAGTCAACGGAGGGTAAAACTGGGGGGCTTGTGTTAATGTGCACCAGGGATTGAACCAATGTGGTGATCTAGTCATCCATCTGTGTCCAGTAAATTTATTTAACAATGGTGGACAGGTACATTGTCACTGTTATTGGTGAGGGAAGTCAAATCAGCCTAGCAGGCTGGAGGGTTCATGATGGGCTGAACAGTGATGCCCAGAATCCATGGACCAGTAGTATTGCATCCATGCTTGGATAGCACCTACCCATGATCAGTGGTCATGCTGGGAATTTGCCAAATGGGTCCATGTCTCTTAGTGACTCTGAGAACTTGCACAGGTTTGCAGATGCTCTATAACATGCAACCCTCCGGCAACAATGAATGTGACCTCCAAGGGTGAAATGGAACAGTTTACTGATTAAGCTCCTTCCTAACTGGGTATCCAACAGGTGTAGGCAGATGCTGAATGTGTTGACCAACTCCATGTATCAGTTTTTGAACCATTATCTAATCACTACCCTTATCATCTTATCCCATATAAGTATTCCTGGATGCATCCTGGTCCAGGTCTGAGAACTGTTGTATAACATGTTGTATATTCTGTCTTTCATATTATACTTTCATCTGCATCCCACTTAGTATTATGGTGTGCATTTGGCCATATTACATAATCACATTCATTTTCATACTCAAGTAGCATACTCACACCTCAGTTGGCTACTTAACCCAACTGAGGTGAGCACTTTCTACATCCTGTCTTTACACTCAGCTAATAGTCCTGTAGTATATATTCTACATAACATCCAAAATGTCTTATCCCTATCACATGTGACACTAAGGACCTGCAGCTGAGCCCCAGTCATGCTGCATGCTGGCTGAAGAAATGAATTTATTCCAACACCTCAAGTTTTCATGTGGCCCATGCTCACTTTACAGACACTGCTTTCAGCAAAGTTGTGTGTCCACTCATATTTCATGGTTTGGTACCATTCTGACTCACTAAAGCCAAGTTGTTCATAACAACACTGAGCTACAGTCACTTCAAGGGTGGGGGTGCCATTCTATTATGGTGCAGCTGCTGGGATCAAAAAGCAACCAAAGAGCCCAGTAATTTTACTTATGCTGAGACCAGGGAGAGGGGGAGGTGAACACAAGCCCCTAATGCCAAAGATGCTGCACGCACATCATTGTAGTCCATTCTTCTTCGAGTGACTTGAACTGTGCAGTGTTCTGCCTTGCTCCACCCTCACTGTTTTCATTCACAAACCTGTTATTATGGTAACAGTAATCTTATCTATTATCTTGTGAGCATTGGTTGGCATCCCTCCATACTACAATCACTAGCTCATGGTCTGCATTCTCACTTCTCTGGACTGGCAACACTGCCCCTCTGTTTTCCATTTCAAATTGATGTGAGCATTCTTTGTGTATTGGCAGCAGTATGTAGACCAGGTGTTCAACTCCATATGTCGTTGTTCGAAGCATGAGTGGCCTCACTATGGAACATTTGATCCTAAGCTCTCACAAGCAGAATGTGGGTGCTGCTGGTTCGAACCTGGGCTCAGGCTCATCACCAACATCCACATCCAAATCCTCAACATCACATCCTTGCCTTTCTCCATGACCTGCCAACACTAACATGAGGTTTCACATGGGACCTCATCCTACTCCTTGTCCCCATAGGCTTTGCTGGCATTGACAAAGGACCACCAGATTCATTTACTTCTTCGACATTTTCCCATCTATCAGCCTCACTTTCTCTACCCATAACTCCCTCACCAGCAAGTTTGCCTTGGAGCTTGCAAATGCAGAGGAAATCAAATTTCACTTTGTGCCTTACCTTGTTCATGCCTGGCAGGGCATCTATCACCTCTGATCCCCTCTCCAAATGCAGTCCCCTGTTTCCTGTCCTTCTTCTAATTCAGTAAGCAAGCCTTCCAGATCTGGCAGTAAGTATCACTTACATGGCAATGCTGAGAGCACCCTGCAGTTATCTGAGTTTGTATCAAATATTGATAGTAATTTTTTGTAATGACACTAGGGTGTTCTGGTTCTCCACTTGACCTGTCAGTGGATGATGGCGTTCCTGTGATCAACTGCTGCAGGGTTCTGTGTGTGGTAAGTAGTCTGAATGTCATCAAGTATATACTAGTTGGTCCGGTGCAATTGGAGCTAGTGCCAATGTACATACTGTTGGTGTTTCTGAAGGGAGAGATGATGAGAATGTGCTGCAGTCTTTGATGCAAGGTCTTACTGCAAGAGGATCCTGTACCATTGTGACTGACCATGTTGGAAATATAGTAATAGTTCTGACTGTCTAGACATACCTAGACTTACACATTTTGATACATGTGTGACATGCTTGGTGATCAGCTCCACAGTGACATCAGTATGACATTGCTTGTTGCATCATATTCCATAGCATTCTCCACTATTCTTTACTATACTTAGTAGTTACATTGTAGCACCTTCCTTTTATGCTACTAGTCCATGTGTACTGCTACATGTATATAAACCCAGGAGTTTCTGTCTCACTCCCAATCGAACAATCCACTGTTATATTGTTCTATCAGAACTACAAGCCCCAACAAGCTTATTTCAAAACCTACTGTCAATTCTTAGTAAAGGCAAGTGCTCTTGCCATTGCTCTTTATACCATAGCCTGTCCTCTGCACAATAGGTTATGAGCCCTGCCTTCTAGGCATGTGTGCTATTAATGCACTTTGCATAGAATAGATCACTGCTGACAAGCAAATCACTATGGATCATGTTGGCCTAGATGCACTAGGGATTGTGGTAGTTACCTTTGTTGTGTCACTTTTGGCTGGTGCAAACCAAGCCATTCTTTTACTTCATTATGGTGGCTTTAACCCTGGTGACTTGTGCAAGCTTTTTATATGCTTGATTGCCTTCTGGTTTTCATTTTTAGGACTCTCTTTGGTGGCAGCATTGTCAACTGGCCATTCAAAGTGCTGTTGGACTTCACACTTTAATTGCTGCACACCATATGCTTCCATCTCCACCTCCATATTACTTACATTTTCATCTTCCTGACATTGATTTCAAGCCTGACCTAGATCCTGTACCACTGTGCACCAAGGTTGATGTGGCTGATCCCACTCCTCCTCATTGTGCTCCCATGCCTTTGGCTGAGGAGGTACTGGTGTTGAACAAGTTGCTCAATCCTGAGCCTGTTCTTGTGATCGTTGCTAATCCCAACGATCTTGCTGAGTTCGATTTGTTATAACTCATTCATTGTCTTGTCTGTTTATTATGGGAACTAATCGACTCTCAAGTCATGTCTCTCATCATCACTAAGAGAACTGAGCTTCAAATCACTGAACACCATGACAGGATGTATGAAGGAGCCAAGTGGAGGAAGTATGCTGTGAAAGAGATTATAAAGTTCATAGAAATGTTATATGTATGGGACTGTCCTACCTGGAGAGAGGCTGTGCCATTGTCTATGGCATTCTTCAAGAAGCCTAACCCAGCTACCTACCTCATTCTGCTGTCAGTCATGGAAACAGCATGGCAGGCTATGCCCCACTTTCCCAGCTTTGATTCTCCATATTTCTGCCCCAGTATTCATATTGCCCACCATGGTTACTTCTCTGACTTCATTCCCAAACTCTTCCATTCTTCTTCACCTCACACCATCACTAATTTTAACAGATGTGATCTCCCTTCAGTGAC